ACCACATGGTCATATCAATTGATGCAGAAAAAGCATTCGACAAAATCCAACACCCATTTTTGATAAAAACTCTCAGAAAGGTGGGAATAGAAGGATCATACCTCAACATAATAAAAGCCATATATGACAGGCCCACAGCCAACATCATACTCAATGGACAAAAACTAACACCATTTCCCCTAAGAACAGGAACAAGACAGGGATGCCCACTCTCACCACTCCTGTTCAACATAGTACTGGAAGTATTAGCCATTGCAATTAGGCAAGAAGAAGAAATAAAAGGCATCCAAATTGGAAAAGAGGAAGTAAAACTGTCCTTATTTGCAGATGACATGATATTATACATACAAAACCCTAGAGACTCCATCAAAAAGCTACTAGACTTAATACATGAATTTGGCAATGTAGCAGGATACAAAATTAACCCCAAGAAATCTGAGGCATTTCTATACACCAATAGTGAACTTTCAGAAAGAGAGATTAGGAAAACAATCCCATTTACCATCGCACCAAAAAAATTAAGATACCTAGGAATAAACTTAACTAAAGAGATTAAAGACCTCTACTCAGAAAACTACAGGACGTTGAAAAAAGAGATAGAGGAAGACATAAACAGATGGAAGAACATACCATGTTCTTGGATTGGTAGAATCAACATCATTAAAATGTCTATACTACCCAAAGCAATCTATACATTCAACGCACTCCCCATTAAAATACCAATGGCCTTCTTCAAAGATCTAGAACGAACTCTCCAAAAATTCATCTGGAATAAAAAAAGACCCCGAATAGCTGCAACGATCCTGAGAAAGAACAAAGTAGGCGGGATCTCAATGCCAGATATCAAGCTGTATTACAAAGCCACTGTTCTCAAAACTGCCTGGTACTGGCACAAGAACAGACATATAGATCAGTGGAATAGAATAGAGAGTCCAGAAATTAGCCCAAACCAATATGCTCAATTAATTTTTGACAAAGGAGGCATGAACATACAATGGAGCCAAGATAGTCTCTTCAATAAATGGTGTTGGGAAAATTGGACAGATATATGCAAGAAAATGAAACTAGACCACCAACTTACACCATACACAAGAATAAACTCAAAATGGATAAAGGACTTAAATGTACGACAGGAAACCATAAAAATTCTAGAAGAATACAAAGGCAACAAAATCTCAGACATATGCCAAAACAATTTCTTCACTGATACAGCTCCTAGGGCAGTTGAAACTAAAGAGAAAATGAACAAATGGGACTACATCAAAATAAAAAGCTTCTGCACAGCAAAAGAAACCATCAACAAAACAACAAGAAAACCCACCTCGTGGGAAAACATATTTGCCAACGTCATATCTGATAAGGGCTTAATCTCCAAAATTTATAGGGAACTCATACAACTTAACAAAAAGAAGATAAACAATCCAATCAAAAAATGGGCAAAGGATCTAAATAGACACCTTTCAAAAGAGGACATTCAGAAAGCCAAGAGACATATGAAAACATGCTCAAAGTCACTAATCATCCGAGAGATGCAAATCAAAACAACAATGAGGTACCATCTCACACCTGTCAGAATGGCCATCATCAACAAATCAACAAACGACAAGTGCTGGAGAGGATGTGGAGAAAAAGGAACACTTGTGCACTGCTGGTGGGAATGCAGACTGGTGCAACCACTATGGAAGGCAGTATGGAGGTTCTTCAAAAAATTGGAAATGGAACTCCCATTTGACCCTGTGATCCCACTTCTAGGAATATATCCCAAGAAACCAGAAACACCAATCAGAAAGGATATATGCACCCAGATGTTCATAGCAGCACAATTCACCATAGCTAAGATCTGGAAACAGCCTAAGTGCCCATCAGTAGATGAATGGATTAGAAAACTGTGGTACATCTACACGATGGAATACTATGCTGCTGTTAAAAAGAAGGAACTCTTACCATTTGCAACAGCATGGATGGAACTGGAGAGCATTATGCTAAGTGAAACAAGCCAGTCAATGAAGGAAAAATACCACATGATCTCACTCTTTCATGGATAATTAAGACCATTACAAACTTTTGAACAATAATAGATACAGAGGCAGAGCTGCCTCAAACTGATTGTCGGACTGCAGTGGGAAGGCCAGGGAGGATTGGGGGACAGGAGGGAGAGAAGTAAGAGATCAACCGAAGGACTTGTATGCATCCATATAACCATAACTAATGGACATAAGACACTGGGGGGTAAGGGAGGGCAGGGGCTTGTCAAGGGTGGGGGGGGGGGGAAGGACACTTATGTAATACCCTTTGTAATACTTTTAGCGAAAAATAAAAAAAAACAAATAAAAAAATAAAAAAAAATCCTCAAAAAAAAAAAAAAAAAAAGAAAGTTACTGAATAAGGCAGTGGACCAAAGCATGCATATGCTGCCCACTACACTTTTGGAATAAATATTAAGAGAAAATGGGTGTAAATATTTTCAAAATATAAATTATTATTTTTTGCTTCAATATATACATGAAACCTGGAATTATACCCCTAGAAAAGTGAACATAGGGAGAGTTTCAGTAAATAAAAATCTTTATGAAGCATGTATACTATTAAGAGAAATACAATGATACAAATCTTTTCTACTAACTTAAAAGAATTCTAGAGAAAAAATATGATTACTGGTTAGGCTTTATAAGCATAAAATTTCAGCTTTTAAAATACATACTAATTAGGTTCACTCAGAAGATTCAATGTACAAAATGGCTCCATAAGATTTGATATTTATATTCTGCATTTTTGAGTATCCTGGCAATTTGAGTAGAGATATGTGAGTAAAATTTCAATACAGTTATTGCTTAAAATATTCTAAAGAGAAAAAAATGGTTCCAGTAAGGCATTCTGAAACAATAATGAAAAAAATATGTCATCAATTATATCTGTAGATTCAGTGAATCTCCTTATTCAGCAGCTAAAATGCTAGTGTAGACCGATCTTCAAATATAGCATAAAACGAGAGCACAGAACTTTTGAGAACAAAAAGATGGACATTCAGTTTACTGAGGAAGAGAGTACTGATGACATCAATGCAGAGACGCAACTGTAAACAGATGGAATGAAAGCGTGGAGTCCTGTGCATAGTCATCCTTGAAAGGGCGTCATCACCGTCTGCGAAGAGCAGATGAAAGAGAAGAAGAGAGCCGTGAAGGTGATGAAGAGCAAACTCAGAGATGCCAGGAGAGGGCAATGTGATGTCAGCCAGAAAAGGAAGAGAGCTGAAAGAAAAGCTGCAGAAAGGGCTGCTTACAGAAAGACCAAGTTGTCCAGTGCATTTGGCAATTCAGAGTGTACTGATACCTTAAACAGAAATCATGGAATTCTAGGGCACAAACCCCATTCGTTGGTTGAAAGTTCAGAGATGGCCCAGCCGGCGTGGCTCAGTGGTTGAGCATCAACCTATGAACCAGGAGATCACGGTTCAATTCCCAGTCAGAGCACATGCCTGGGTTGTGGGCTCGATCCCCAGTGTGGGGTGTGCAGGAGGCAGCCAATTAATAATTCTAGCTCATCATTGATGTTTCTATCTCTCTCTCCTTCTTCCTTCCTCTCTGAAATCAATTAAAATATATTTTACAAAAAGAAAATTTAGAGATGAAAGAGGTGACTGTGTGGTTACGAGAGGCTGGGGAATGGGGGAGGGGGGAGGTAAAATATATGGTGATGGCAAGAGACGAGACAATGGGTGATGAGCACACAATGCAATGTGCAGGTGACGTGTTATAATATTATACACTTGAAACTTATATAATCTTATAACCAACATCACACCAATAAATGTAATAATTCAAATTTTAATAAAGGAAAGAGGTGGACCCAAATATGGAAGGCCTGGCCTTGAGCATCTTTTGCAAGGATAGATCTCGGTGGAGAGCTCTGCATCATAGGGACACACTGATAAGACAGAAGACATTTGGGAGCTTTTATAAATTGAAGGGAAAGGACAACAGAGTTAAGGTGTAAAGGTCAGGAAGAGAGAGGCATGATGGGTGAAGCAATGTTGAAGGAACATGGGAGGATATGTCCAACGTCGAATCTGGCTTCCGGAGTCGACCACCTTATTCTCAGGATAGACAGGACCAAGTTCAGGACTCACACAGAAAGGATTCGGGTCCAAAAGCGTCATGTTTTTCTTGGTGAAGAGGGAGCAGACTCAAGGTTTAAGGAAGGAGTCTTGAGTAACATCTAACAGCATATTAATTTACTCCTCTAATTCCATTAAACAATTAGCTTAAATATTTTTATGCCTAGATACAGTTCTACAGTAATTGTCAATGTCTTATCCTTTGTAAATTTTGGACACAACTTTCTGCACTGAGAACAGTTGTCTTAAATCTCATCTGATGGAATCATAATTGTGGTGGAGGCAGGTGTGCCCAGTTGTGTGTTTTTTGTTGTTGGTAATCCTCACCCGAGGACATTTTTTCCATTAATTTTTAAAGAGAGTGTGAGGGAGGCAGGGAGAGATGGAGGGAGGGAGAGAGAGAGAAAGAGAAACACTGATGAGAGAGACACATAGATTGGTTGTCTCCTACACATGCACCTAAGGGGCCAGGGATCGAACCTGCAACCCAAGTACATGCCCTTGACTGGGAATCAAACCCAAGACCCTTTCGTGCAGCAGCTGATGCTCTAGCCCCTGAGAACACCGGCCAGGGCCTGGCTGCATTTGGAAAATGCTCCCAGGTGACTGTCCGATGCACCTGTCTAGCTTGGGTTGAGAGCCACCACCTCAGCTTCTGGGACAAGGACTCAGAGTGTACCCTGAGCCTGGATCTGGTGTGCATTCCAGGCCTCTTTTCTTGCCTTGACAGTCTGGCATTGGTTGAAACCTATCAGAACAACTCTTCCAGAATTTACTAGTTCCACAATAGCAACCAGCAGCTGCTGTTTGTGTTGAGAAAACTGCGTTTAGTTGAGAAAACGATTTCCAGGAAGAGAAATACCCATGGTTCATGACGACTGCTCACCTGCACGTCTGAGGCTGAAACTTCTTCCCTTTGAGGAAGCACTTCTGGGGGTTTTCTGTACATTCACAGGCGCACTTGGCTGGGTTGAGGGGCTGGCTTCTCGGGCAGGCTCTTCTGCACACGCACTGGCACGTGCTCTCGTCGAACTCCCTGTGGGGCCCGCACGAGCTGGGGAAGAGTTTGTTTCTGCAGACGCACTGGCACGAGTCTCTGTCCAGCTCCCTGTGGGGCCCACAGCTGGCCGGCCGCAGCCCCCCTTTGCAGACGCACTGACACGTCTCTTCATCCAGCTCCTTGTTGGGGCCACAGACGTCGTGGAATCCATCGGCCGCGTCTAGACAACCAGGCGGGACATGGTTACTACACCTCACTCGGGGCTGGGTGGTGTTATGCAATAAAAGCATCGACAGCACCTTCCCTGGCGTGTTGTTCATTGCAGGGCTGTGCACGAACATGGTATGTGCCTCTACAGGAGCGGTCCATGCAATACCAGTGGGAGGCAAGCAAGGGCCCATCGCATAGTGAGCTAGTGCGTTTCATGACCTGAACATCGTGCATGTGGATCTGATATGAAAGTGCGTGCCGATCACAAGAGAGAGCCCTGGCATCTAGTCTCCACAGCCACCGCGCTCTTACCGTCGCCAGCAGTGGAGGCAAACATGAAATCCTGCTGAGCGAGGCACCTGCAGATGTGGTTGTTCCACGTGTGGTTGGCGGGGCAGGTCTTGTTGGCAGCCTGGCACCTGGGGAGACAGACGGGGAGGCATTAGCATAACTGGCACGGAGACGGGTCATCGCTTTCCTTACCTCTGTGTCACATCAATACAGACATGTAAAAGCGCTCTAAAATGATGTCAGAACATTGGAAATGAAGTGTGGATGTTCCCTCTCAAACCACCTCCACCCCCATGGGCTGTGGCACTCTCATCCCAGAGGTGAGCACCGTGAGGGGGATGGTTTTGAATCACTCCAGGCTTCCGCCTCTTTACGGCGATGCACGGGTCTGTGCAATCACATAGCGTCAAAAATGGGACCAAGCCTTTTACTCCAAAAGTCCTTTTCCACTAAACAGTCCATCTCATAGGACAGGCTGTGAGGGTCTCCTCCAATACCCATAGAGGTTGCACAGGGGTCCTATCAGGATGTATGATTTACTTCATCAGCCCCCTGTTGACAGCTATTGAAGTGGCTTCCACCTTGGCCTCTTCCAAGGATTCTCCAGGAAGCATTCTTACACCTGTGCCTTGTCGACTGCTTTTCGGAAGCAGATGCCCATACTGTCAAGGTCCATTAATGCAAAATTCCCACTCTATTCCCCACCACAATGGTATCCGCAACCACGGGTTTTGTAGTGTTAGTCCTTCCTCCCTTCCTTCCATCTTATTTGTTCTGGTAAAAGCTAAACAGCATGAAGTTCTTTTTCTTAGCGTTTGATTTATGACTTTGGAGTTTCCTTTTGCAAATGAAAGAAAATAAGTATGTAGGTGTGTATACATGTATGTATATATGCATATATGCATGCATTTTATCTCATTCTCTTACACAGATGATATCCTCCCGTAGATTCTAAACCTTGATTTTTCACTGAACACTATTTCCTGGAGAATGTAATACCTGCATAATAACTTCAGGTATTCCCAAGAGCAAGCCTCTGCTCATTACGTATTTTTGTTGCTATTTTGTAGGCTAATCACAAACCCATATTGATGCACGTAAAAGCCAGACAGTGCTTACCCATTTTCCCAAACAGTATCATTGTTGTTTTTTATTTACCTCTCTATTCAAAACGTGAGTATTCCTCCATCAAATAAGACGGCAGTTATGTTTAGCCATATAACAGCAATGCAGTTAATCCTGGTTGAATCAAACTCATGTCACTCTTCTGTAAGTGCAAGTCGATCGTGGCCATGCTGCCTCAGTGTTGACGTGGTGTAAGTGGCACACCCCCATGTTGGCACAGTGCTGTGGGGTCACAGCTAGAACTTGCCAACGTGCGCTTGAAGCTGCCATGACCTCAGCCACTGTGTTCCCAGCTGGGAGTTGAAACCCAGTCGTGGATCATAAAATTAACCACATGAGTTGGGAAATGCATTTTTCAATGTAAAAGAATGGCATGTAATAAAATAGAAATTAGTAGAGTGCATGTGATATTGTTTTCTGCAATTGTATTTCAATGATATATATATATACATATACATATTTTAATATAAGTAATGTACATATACAAATATATATGTGTGAATATTAATATACAACCCCTCACACACACAACTCCCCTTTTCCCATGTGTGTGTGTATGTGTGTGTGTGTGTGTATGTGTGTGTGTGTGTATGTGTGTCTGTGGTGGCAATGTCAAATATATTTGATTTTAGTCACAGCTGGAAAAGTGACAAAATACCTACCTAAGCTATTTAAATGGCACAAAGAGGTGTCAAGAATAATCCGAATGACTAACCCAAGTAGGATTGGTGAAAGGTGAGATTTCCAACTGTAGGCATATGTGTTAATGTCTGTGCTTACATTTAAAATGGATACACAACTGTTCATCCTAAGTAGGTACAAAAACAAAACAATTTCCTAGCATGTAGTGAGGAAAAAATATAGAGTTTTCTCTATAATATTTCAACATCTTCAAAAATATAAACTCGAAAGTATGGACTGGGTGTAGAAACGAATGTAGGGATAACTGTAGAAATATGTTTCTGGGAATGTCATACAAAGCAAGGAATCAAATTTGACAGAATTAAATAATGATTTCATATGATCTGGCTACATTAACTCTTTAGTTTTTGCACATTTATGTTGAATAAAAATACAGCCTTCAGAATAACACTCAATTATGTTCTATTTCAAACACTGTGCCCACTTAAACTTTATATTGCTAATTATGGTTTGCTCAAAGTAAAGTAAATATTTTAATTTATAATACTCTTAAAACTTAAATTTCTAGAACAATATGACTTCCGAAGCTACCAAAAGTAAGAAATTACTACTCATTAATGTTAACACATATTTCAAAGTTGAAATTTCAAATTCTGCTACATACAACTTAATGAAAGAAACATATATTTGGGTGAAATACATTTTCATAATTTCCTAGGAAAGTTCCTTGATCTAAAAGTGAGTCACAACTGCTTAGCATTTAAAGCTTCTCATGTGAAAATAGAGACACAATTTCCAAAATACTGTCATTTTAGAATGAAAGGCAATGATTTCATGGTGGATAGGTTGAGCACAATCATATCTCATTTATCTTTAGCTCCAGAGCATTTTTGTTCTATTAGAACTGCAAGTTATGAATATTAATGGGTGAACATATTAACATGTTTACAAATTAGTTTGCAATTACTGGTAAAGTGGGTCTATGCTGAGAATCGTAGGTAAATATATTGACTTCCCTTTCCCGCCCATGAACACAGTAGGCCTGCAGACATCAGTAAGATTAAGTCTATAAAACATATTGCTGAGAGAAAAAAAGGTAATGTCACCATTTTAACATAAAAAATGTTAAACACTCAGAGCTGTGCTATGTAACCTCTTGTGGCACATTTACCCACCCATCTATATATATAAAAGCCTAAGTGACTGAATGACCGAACGACTGGTCGACTGGTCGCTATGATGCACACTGACCACCAGGGGACAGACGCTCAACGCACAGGATCAGGCTCCATCCTGTCTGGATTGGGCCTGCGGGGATCCGGCCGAAACCAGCAGTCTGACATCCCCTGAGGGGTCCCGGATTGCGAGAGAGCTCAGGCCAGGCTGAGGGACCCCACCAGTGCACGAATCCGTGCACTGGGCCTCTAGTATGCCATAAAAACAGAAAAGAATGAGTGGAAATAACACAGTTTCAGAGGAGTGAGTACCTCTGCACGTGGGGGACAAGGAATGGTGACGTGGATCGTTGGGTTATATCGTAAATAAATACGAAGGGAATATTTGTTAAATTTTAAATTGGGGTGGAGGAATAGGTCATTTTTGTTTTTGTTGTTCTGTAATAAGTGTTTGAATTTTTTAACTTAAATAAGTTAAAAATGCAGTCATGACTGCAAACCCTAAGGAATGAACTGACTCCAACCTTAGTCTGCATCTCTGAAGTGCTCCTTTTCGGTTGTGGGATGTTGGAGAAAGTTACTTAACGCTGATGATTCTGCCTTTCATATCTAGTTGGGAATCAGTCTCTCCTCTCTCATTTTCTCTCCTACTTCCTCACACACGCTCTCTGTGCCGCGTGGGTGCTAGATTATCAGTAAATGACAAGGTTATCTTCGTTCCAAGTCCTTCAGCTAATGAGTCAGTTCTGGCCATTCCTGGGCTTTTTTCCCCTAACAGTTGATCCTCTCACCACTTCCTCTTTCCTTGAACTCTGTCGGCTTTTTGTAAGATCTTTGGAATTTTGTCATATCTTTCCCTCAGTTTTTACCCCTCATTTTTCTGCCTGCTCTTTCTCAGTCTCCTGCACAATCATTTCTCCAACAGTTTCTAAATATTGATGTTCCCATGGTTTTATTTTCTCTGCTACGTCCTGTATTTCCCTTGGTTGGGTTTGTCTCTTCCAATTGCTCTCACTACCAATGATATGCTGGTAGCCACCAAATGAGCAACCTCGCCCCACCCCCACATCCAACTGCCTGCTGAATGGTCACTTTAATTTCTTTCAGATATTGCAAATACTCACACTATGCACGTAAAAACTAAACTCTTTTCAAACCCGCCTTCCCGTCTTTTAAAATATTATCAGTGAAACTTCTGTTATGCCACACACCTAGTTCCTAAGCCTTACTTTCTTGTTTCCAATGTCTTTCCACCTCTTCTCTTTCCATCCCGTCTCCACTGCCTCAGTTCCCACCCTTATTATTTCTCTGATGGATTATTTCAGAAGCTTCCTCTCCAATTTTCTCACCTCCCGTTTGCTCCTCTCATCCACCAACGACATTACCCCCAGGCTGTTCTTTCTATAATATACCATGTAAATGTAACACCCTACACGAATCTTAGTGGTTCCTGGAGGACTTGAAGGGAAAGTTCGTCCTTGGTGAGATGTACGCACTCCTGCGCGCCTCTCGGGCCACGCGCGGCTGCAGCTACGCAAGCAGCATCAGTGCCCTGCACCCATTCAGTAGTTCATTCCATTCCCTTTACATTTTGACACTTTATATAGAAGCAAACTGAGGGTCAGAGACACGAAATACCCAGTCCCACAAGCTCATGAGTGGTGGACCCGCATTCAAGCTGACATCTGGCTGACTCTCAGGCCCAAGGTCCCTTTACTCTTTTTGTCTCTTCTCGCCTCAACTAGTAAATTTGAAATAATGAAAACATGAGTAAAATATGCAAATGATATGGGATAGAGATAAAGAAGCTGTTTTATTTAACAAGCACTTGTTGATAGTGTAGTGTATTGTTTAGCCCACAAATCTGCTTCATCTGTAGGATAAGGCTAATGCTACTGTCAAAGTCATAGCTGACTTTGATGGTCACCGAGACAGACAATGTACTCACAGGGCTAAAAGTATAGTGACGGCTCGATTACTCTTCAGTGTTGTTAGCTGGATACTATGGAGGATACAAACCTGCCTCTCATAGTCCAGTCCTTGCCTCACATACAGACCCTAGAAACCCAGGCAGGCGAGGGCCAAGTAAATGCAGTCATCGCCGCGGGTATGCATGAAGCAAAGGTGGCCGCAGTACTTGGAGGAGATGAGTGCAGCAGAAAGGCCTTCCCCTGAATCTGAGGAGGGGATGAGGCTCGGGAAGGCAGCAGAGAAAGGACCAGGCCAGAATGGAAACGAGATGCAGAGCAGGAAGTGAGGGTGGTGATCAGAGTCAGACTTGGTGAGGTGCAGACGTGTGAGCAGTGGGACACAGAAGGAAGGATGCCAGGCTGGAGGGGAAACCTGAGCTCAGTTCTTTGAGCCTTTAAAGGTCGCTGCCAGTTCCTGGTCCGATGAATGACAGGTGCCTTTAAAGCTTACCTGTCACACGATCCAGGAACTGGAGACATATCTGCTACAAGAAAACCGGTATTGACACCACTGTGTTAAATCAGAAATCCATGCAGAACAGAGTGGGTGAGGATGGCGGTGATGGGGATGAATGTAGGTTGGAGCAGATATGCCTCCCTTCCCCCAATAATCAATAGTTTTGGGTGAGATATAACGAAAAGAAGTAATTCACGGCCACTGTGTGAGTGCAAGGTCTCAAAGAACATTGTGATGAATAATATGGACTAAAGCAGCGGTTCTCAACCTGTGGGTCGTGACCCCTTTGGCGGTCGAATGACCCTTTCACAGGGGTCGCCTAAGACCATCCTGCATATCAGATATTTACATTATGATTCATAACAGTAGCAACATTACAGTTATGAAGTAGCAATGAATATAAGTTTATGGTTGGGTCACAACATGAGGAACTGTCTTTAAAGGGCCAGAAGGTTGAGAACCACTGGACTAAAGACATCTAATAAAGCTTAGATTTGCGTCCATGATAGCTCATAGAATTATAAACATGGCAATATAAGATAGATTTAGATAAAATATTATAAATCAATGAGACGATCAGGACTTGAACTGTAATTTGTACCCTCCTCACAGAGATGATGACTGAAGCGCTGGGAATGGATGAGCAGCCCAGGGAGCCAGGCGCACAGACCTCTCGGAGCCTCGAAGATGGACTCCCAGCTCCAGCAGCTCCAGGAGTGGTGTCTGCCGGCATCGGCACGAAGGTACTCCCAGAGCCCAGAGGTCTCTTCTTTCTCAGGCCACAAAGGACAGGTCTCTGTCACTCCAGTTAGGCTCTCCTCTCGTTTTCCCTAAAGTCCCTGGGAAGATAAGGCTCCTACCTGCCTCTCAGAGGACAGGAGCTCAGAGAGATCCGATGGGGAACCTGCCACCGGTGTATCTCATTTATGGCCAATCCCCTAAAATGCAAGTTTGGTTTTCTTTTCAAAAGTAATACATACTTTTGCTCATCAATTTGTGCATACTTGTGTTACACGTTGGACTTGCGGTTTTGTTCAGATGCACACTCCGTATGTCCTAACGAACGAAGAGCTGCATCCTTGTTTGGGGCAGAAACGGGTGCTGCCATATCTCAGACGGCATTGCTTAATGGCTCCTTACACACTCCTGGGGGTGGGGGTGAGGTCTGTGCTTGACACTCCATCCGGGTCCTTCTGTCTGATCACATGACGCATATGCTACCACTTACCAAACCAAAAAAGCAGGATGGGAAGGGAATCTGAATAACACATGTAAGTTTGAATGTTGTTTTGAAGTAATAGTAAGAGAAAATTCTTTCAAGTAATTAATCAATATTCAATTCTTGCTGAAATAGAAATATGAAGAGATATATGGAGAAGAAATAATTGAGAGTGAAGAAAAGCAACTGGATGCTAATAGGCAAAAGATAATTTATTTTTTTGTTTTGGACCAAAATCTCATTAAGACTTAAATGTTTTGGGCTTGAACATCGTTTATGAGTTGGCACACCTAACTTTATGAGTGCTGTATCTGAATGACTGCTAGTTGGATATGAGCAGGATGTGTGTGATTCCACAGAAATACTTCTTTTGTTTTGTGAGCTACTGTGTCTATCAAGTGGGCTTCCCTGTTTCAGCTTAATTTCATTTTCCGGGCGCACTATTACGTTTGCCTTCATTTGTATTTCAATGCAAAGAATGCTATAGAAAACTCCACAAAACGGCTTTTAATAAACTATTGACTCGAACACAATTTTCCCGTAGAAGAGGAGGCAGAGAAGGTAAACTTGATTCATACTCACTGTGGCAGTGTTGCTGGCAGGGAGCGTCTAATAATTGAGTGGACTTGTCTGTAAACATCCAGCTTGGACATGCACCGGCAGGAAGTGTGATTAGCAAAACTGACTGTGACTGGTTTGGGGCCTTGAGAGAGAGGCACTGTAATTTCAAACAACTACAAAGAAGGGACAAAAAGAGAAACAATTATATAGATGCTGTACAGCATGGTATGGTAAATGTTGGAGTCCACAAAGAGTGAGATGAACTCTTCATGAACAGGTAGAGTGCTGCGTAACATAGGCAGAACATCAATATCCTTTATCAATTAATCAACAGGTCCTATGCTTACCTCATGTCACTGTTACAAAGCATATTAGGATTTTGATAATCAACTAATGATTATAGAGCAGAGATGTAATAGACCAATGTGTTCAAGGAGAAGAACTGTTTCAGAGACCTAAATTATTATATATATTAACTGATTCCAGAGAGGAAGGGAGAGGGCATGTGCCCTGACCAAGAATCGAACCATGACCTCCTGGTTCATGGGTCAACGATGCTCAACCACTGAGCCATACGGGCTGGGAGACCTAGATTGTTTTAAAGGGTAAGAAAGGGGCACCAATGTACATTTCATTGTGATGTAAGAGCAAAACTATTGGCCACCTCAAAACGTTTGGTTAAGTCCTATTGTATATAAACTGAATACACAGACAAAAAACATATAGATGAAAAGCTGGTTTTCATTCCAAATCAAATTTCTGCCTCAGGGTAGTTTTACCTGTATTGAGATCTCTTATAAACTTATTATGTTTAAAAGAAAAAATAAACACATTCATAATTTAACAGCTAAAGCTCTGTTTCTGCTGTTTTGACAAAGGTATTAGGAAAAAAGTAATCTTAGAGAAAGGTCGAGCATTTTACGTGACTGTGGGTTAGATCTCAACATTTAGCTTGACTAAAGTCTCCTTCAGAATGCCTTGTTTGTGGAGAACTCCAGTTCTCTTCCTTCTACCAAAATAGTGCTTTGAAACATTAAGTAAAGCCAAGCGGACTTAAATTCCTAAGGCTCTGAGAATCTAAATGATCTTCAGTACCAATGGCAAAGTAAAACCCTGTCCATTGTCTGCTCGATAAGATCAGCGCGCAGTAACTCAACTGCAGGGAACCACGTGTGGTGTGGGACTTTTATGGCAATCTGGGCAGCGTGAAGAACATGACATACTCCAGAGCCTTGTGATTTGGCGCCTCGCTGCAATTTCATACCAACAGTTGAAGATCATTGAAAAGGTCGAGGGAGCAGAATTGGTTGCCCTTTTGTTCATACCACGGAGAGATGTATTAAAAGGACTTTTGAAGAATGAAATGCAGAGATATCTCAATTATAAGATGCATATTTTCTTCACTTGAAATGCATTCATTTCCAATTGCAGCTATTTTCTTAGCATAAGTGCCTCAAGAGGAATGGGCACAGATCACACCCAGACAGGATACTTTTGTTAGCGACCGCACTTGTGAGTTGTGTGAACTTGGAAATGCCATCTAACTTTTCAAAGCTGTTTGTTTCCTTAAAAACCAGTAAAATGAAGATGATATTGACCCATTACTTCATGAGACTGTTATGAAATTATATAGGCTGAAACATGAATGTGCTCTATATACTGAGTGCTGTATAGATGTGGGTGTTTAATTATTTGCACATGTTCTCAGGCTTCTAGATATTCCCCAGAATACTGTCCATTCTCCATCGATAATTCCAACATAAGGCCTCAACGTGTCCCTGCATGACGGTTTTGACCAGTTTCTTCTCTGAGACATGGGTGTATGCCGTTGGGCTGAAACCTTTGATTAGGTGACATGTCACACTGGCAGAAACCCTTTGTGCTACGTGCAACTATTTAAAGAAAGATAATTCTGCAGTGTCTACAAATGCTACAGTTTTTCTACTTGCATGACATCTGCGGACCCTGACTTAATAACCAGAGTGACAAAGGCAACATGAAGTGGCTTAGAAACGAAGCCATTTTAATATGGTGCATATGTAATTTTTACAAATGACTTGTTGAAGCTCACAACAGTGGAACAGGAGAGAGGTGTGCAGGTCAGCTCGCAAAAGCCTCGACTGTACATCTAGTAGGCAGGTAGATGTTTGTGCCTGGAGCTTGGAGAACCATTGAAAAATCATGCATATTAACATTGGAATTGAAGTCTGGGCATCGATACGATGACCTGATGAGATCAAAAAGTGTCTAATAACAGAAAGCTGGGGCAGGAACATTTCAGGGTGAACAGAGGCAGGTGAGCGGTTCCCTAGTCTGGGAAGAGGTGTGACAGGTAGAACACCAGGCGGGGTGTTAAGTCCAGGGAAGGCACAGAATGAGAGGAGGGCTTCGAAAAGGCGTGTGTGGTCACAGGCTCCAGTGTCTCTGGGAAATCAAGGACGTCAGGAGGGAGCAGGGACAGCTGGGCACCAGAGTGGCTCTAAGGGCTGTGGCAGGGCCGGGCGTGAGGACAGGAGCAGCGATAGGGATGGAGAGAAAAGAGGGGCCCCACAGGACTGGAGAGAAGGGGCTCAGATGACTCTGGCCACAAGGGACACTTTCCCTGACAGAGTGCGTGTAATTCTTGCAGGATCTGTCATCGTCTCAAGTGACACAAGGCAGGACAGAGCCTGAGAGGGAAGGCTAAGGCCCTGTCTGAGATAAGGGCTCTTGCGGAGGAGTTAAGGAGGTTTCCCCACCCCTGGACCTCAGGGGCACGCTTCCTGCTCTCAGTGACGGTGGCCACTTCGGACCCCACCCCACGTGCCTCGCCCAAAAAGAGCTCAGGGACCATTATCAGCGATCTCAGGCCACTTCCGCCACTCCCAGTGGGTAAGGTCCACAGTTAGAACCCGCCCAAAGGCACCAAGTGTGTATTCAGGAACTGGGGCGGTGAAGAATGTTCCAGAGAGATGAAGACCAGTTAAATGCCCGGAAGAAAGCATCTTCTTGGAAAAATAAGACTGGCTCTACACTTTCAAAGAGCGGAAGAGGCCTGTGCTGGCAGACCCACTACTTCAAGGATAAAGGGACAGGTAAGGAGGCAGTAAAAAAGTCACTGTTTAAAGAAGTTTTTTTTTTTTTTCTTAAACTTGAAGAAATCTTATGCCTTCAAATTACAGGACAGCTTGGGAGAAAAATCTACTTATAGTTTAGCTATTTAAACAACAGAAAAAAATGTAATTATTGATGTTTCATTCCTCTTGTTTGAGTCTAAGTAGGCAACTGGCCAGCTGGAATTAGTTAATTTAATCAAAAGGAATAAACAGGTCAAAAATTAAAGTTAGAAAAAATATTTTCTTGAAACACTTCTTCTACCTTCAAATTTTGACCTGAGTTTCTCCAGTAGTTCAACTCTCTACCTGAGTGTCCCAGTGTGGGAAACACATAAGGGTCCAGAGAAGGATGTCTCTGACCAATAGAAAAAGGAGAAAAAGTCTTACTCATTGAGTTCTATTCATTTATCAATTTCAGAAAAAATGGGAACACCTGAGAGTGTGCTGCGGGTGATGTAGCTAATTTGACCTCCGAGGGCTGGTGTACAGAGAAGGGGCCTCTTCCCTCTTCCAACTTTATTCCCCACTACTCTTTAGGTGCATACATTGATTGACATTTTCTCATGTAAAGTGATTAACTATTTCTACTACCTTTCTAATAAGTACAGTAACTTGTTTTCTTTACAGAACAAGTTGTGAATTTCATATAGCTCTATGTAATCCCTATGTTACTAAGAATGTCCATATACCTTTTTCCCTAGTCAGATAATAGGTACTTAAAAATGTACACTTTTTTGAACTAAAAATATTAATAATTAGAATCACATTATAAACTCACAGGTCCCGCTCCTAAAAAAATCAGTGCACTTTAAAAATACCTGGAAGCTTCCCTTTTCCACTAGAGATGCAAGAACAACCAAAAGCATCACCTCAAGGACAGGCAGGCAGTAGGCAGAGCCTGCATTTGCAGTTTGGCACTCCTGGGCCTTGGAAAAACTGCCCAGCTGCCCTGAGCCTCCATTTCTCTCTAAAATAGGGATAATATAGTGGTGATTTCATTGTTGGGCTGTTTGATTTCCCCTCATCCTCCCCATTCTTCTTCAAGATTGAGTTGAATCTTTGGTAGAGGGATTACACATTATTAAGTTTCTCTTTAAAATCGTTCCTTGTTTCGTTTTCAATAACTGTTTATTGAGAACCTAGAAGATGCCAAGTGCCAGGTGCCTTACTGGACTGTCAAGCTAACAGCTATCAGTCTCCAAGTCTTGCCTCCATGCAATTCTTAAGAAGCCCAACAAACAATGGGAGCGAACTAGAGAAAGCTTTACATATATTATGATTCTATGTTAGAATTATCAAAATATCAACCCGTTTATCACAAATGCTGTTAGTGAGCAAGAACCTCAGTTTACCTGTCTTATGGAAATGCATGCTGGCCATTATATGAAGATCTGAATCAACGCAGGAACTGTAATTTACTCTTGAAAGAGTCCGTTCTAGCCATACACCGGAGTGTTTGAGGCAATAATGGATTCTTTATATTTTAATAAAATAAGAATCCTTATACTATTGTCAGACTATTTTGTGCTTCAATGTGTACACAGCAGTGTTTTCTATTTTAGATTTATGCTCATAGAATGCAAGATTCATGTATTAGGTTCAGCATTAGCTAATAATTCTATGTATATATGGGCACTTAGTCGATACTGATGGGTGATGGTGACAATCATAATTTGATATTTTGAGCATGATGATTTTCCTAAGACAGTTTTATGCTGTGAAGTGAATTGTTCTTGAACAGTAAGATATAAACTTGTAATTAACTTAGGGTTCCAGTACTAATGAAAGTCACCATGGAGACTCAGGCTGTCTATCAGTATATGCCTATTGAAAGAGTTGCTCATTTTAAAGAAGATCTAAAGAACTTATATCCAGGGGGCATTTAAACAAGGCTGGAAATTGGGGAAAATACAATAGTATATGCTATAAAACTGCAATAAAAAGGAAGTGGCGATCATTTCCAACTGAGAGGTTCCCCATTGCTATCAACTGGAATTTTTTAATAAGAATGTTTAATCGTCAATTCTCACCAACAAGAATGAACTTCAAATAAAGCCACTTTTTGAAACAATAGCTTG